TACAAAATACGTTCTTTCTACTGAGATTGAGTGGCTGGCAATAAGCAAATAAAATGTTCGAATGCAAAGGACTAGAGTGACTTGATAAAAGTACTAAAGCGGCTCTCACTCAACGATTCAAGCAACACTCGAATTACTGAACTTGACTGAGAAATTCAGCAAGATGTACACCGAAAATGTTGCCCCGAAAATATGCACGCTGATTGGGTTTTAGCAATACAGGATTTTCCAATCAGCATGCTTGTTGGGTAGAACCACGCTTTAGTGGGGCGAGGGTGAACGATACCTGAGCAAGGGTATGGTCGGAAAATTTCTTCCCAATGGCCGTTGACCGCCTGAGAAATTTATTTATGACAGCCACGAATATAAGAAGTGTTAACAATAGTGAATATAGCCTTTACTTGATGGGTTCTTGTATTTATATGAAAAATATATCTAGGAAAATGTCACATTTATATAATCCTTTGGACAGAACAACAACAAATTAAAATAAAACTCATTTTTCATCATATTGTTAGCTTCATTTCATTAGATCGCACCTAAGATTCAACAAAGTGATGACATTATGGACACTATCTTTTAAATTTATCATTATCAATGACTAATTAATCAGTTTGACTTCTGAGAGGCTTGTACACTTCAAACATGATTTCCAAGAGCATGCGAGCATGATATGGACAACATTGCTATACATACATAGAACATCTTACCAAATTCTGAAAACTAGGGGGCACGCTATCAGTCGTGGTACGTCCAGCCAGAGGATTAACTGACATCTGGACCGGATTCAACGTAGCCGAACCTGTAGGCTCGGGTACGATTGTCGTCGCAGGAGACGTAGCAGAGAACTCAACGCCGATGCCACTCGTTATATTATAATTGTCGAAATAATGTTGAGCGTGATTCGTCGGTGTATTCTTCACCGGTGGCGCGTACAAATGGCTTGCAGGCGCGTGCTTCGGCAGATCGTCTTGAAATTGTGCGATATTGTAGAACAGAGGCTGGTCAGGCGCGTTACATGTTGCGATCACAGTCTGAGAGGTTTGGTTACCGCCCCACTGAGATGACTGAGCTACCGGTACCAAAGGACTTGGAAAATTCGAGCTATTGAACGACACTTGCTGTGAATCGTTTCTCGAACGAGCTACGTCTACGGGATAATTCGTGCTATTTTCTTTGTACTGCAAATCGTAAGACGAGCTACTGGTACGTTCCGCTGTAGGTGGGAAATACGAGCTCGCCGATTGTGCGCCGAAAGTGCTCGACACCGATGCAACCGATGTCGCAGCAGTGAGATTGAAATTCAAAGTTTGCTCTGGCGGCTTTCCCGCGAAAAAGTTAACACTCGACGCGAAAGGTTCAGGTTGATAATATTCCTGCGAAGATTGCACATTCGATGAGACACCATGACTCTGCGGCAAATTGAATTTCTCGTGCACTTCTTGTTGTTGCTCTGAAGTTTCTTGTTTCACAAACACGTCAGACTGCGGTCGATTCTTCTTCTGCTCGGCGTTAGTCAATTTTATATCGTCGCTGGTTTGACACTGTGCAACACTTTCTCCGATTTTCGTCTCGACCGGTTGTCCCGACGAGCTTTCCTTTCGTTCGGCAAGCAAGTGTTCCAACTTCTCCGAAACTTGAACCGCAGACACGGGCCCGAAGGTTACACTGGGTTCCGCAACGGGTCTCACAATACTACTGTCTCTTAAAATTGGCAAAGGAGAGTCTGTATGGCTCGCCACCACTACTGCTTCCTTTTCTAAATTGATCGTCTTTGACGGGAAATCTCGACCAGCATCGAAACCGAAATAAGAAACATTGGCCGGAGTGTTCTGCGGAGTAATCGGTTCTGGAACTTGTGGTGGGATCGTTCGGGCCGAGGACAGTGGAACGCTTGGTTTCTCGATGACAGCGACAGTTTCAGAACTGGAATTTTGATTCTGGGGCGTTACACTGCGCGAAGTGCCGGTAGAACTGTAAGGAACTCCTGTCGCTACTGGACTAGATCTGAAAGACTCTTGCAACGAGTTGGCTTGTGATAAGTATTCTGGCGTGGAACGTTGTAACGAAGGTGAATTCGTAGAAATCGACGTTTCAACGGGTTGGTAACTTGGTAATGGGGCGACAGGTTCGTTTGGATTGAATATACTCGGTGTTGCGCTGATGTGAGATGTGACTAGCGGCTGAGCCACCGGTGCGGAGTATTGTTTCGACGTGTTCGATGTTAAGTCGGGCGGCGGTGCGTATTTCAAACGTCTTTGGTTGCCAAGACGATACGAAATGGGGCCTGGAAAAGAAGGAAAAAATTGCATTGTTTAATTTGACACACGTACGTTAAGTTCCTGAATTTATTTTGTCAATAAAATGCTATAAATTGACAGTGAGAGCAGAAGAATAGAGCACAGCTCTAGAATAGAGCAGAACTCTAGAATAGAGCAGAGCTCTATAGAATAGAGCAAGATAAAAAATAAAGAAATAATATAACATAATAGAATATAATAAATAAAATAATAATTGAAATAATAGATCATTTTTGATTATTTTTATATTAAAAACGATACTGCATCTTATCGGAATAAAACCATTGATAAAACCACGAATAATGTTTCATTTTCAGTCAGTTCATCGAAACAAAATGACAAACGGTATAAGTAATAAAATCGAAAATTGTTATTTCACTTTAAAGAACAAGATCGCACAATTCTTTTTATCAATCACGGGAGAAGATAAATTCCAAAGTCGAATGTAACAAGCAATTTCTCTTTATTCAAAATGATCGCATACGCATGTGGTGATTAATCAATCGTATGTGCAAGGTTCCTGAAAATGTCCTGAAAAATTCCAGAAAGAAATTTACCATTCGTCGACGAAGGGAGCGCAGGCGGTGCTGACGAACTTCCGGCGTTTCCGGGATGAACGTCGACGGATCCCGTGAAACTCGTACGTCGTGGATCGTGGAAATTGGCAAGTACAGGCGGCGATGTGTCCCTCAACGAGTCGCGACGATCGTGCGAAGGCACATGACGAGGATTTGTATTCTGTGAACCAATTACGTTCCCGATTGTTTGATTCGCTTGAGACACCGACGTATCGCTGGTGATCGACGACAACGATAAATTCGGCAAAGAGGAAAGAATCGATGTGAGGTAGCCCTGTCTCGTTGGCTGACTGGTCGGCTGATTTTTCGTTTCTTCAGGGTGCAAGGATATTGGCGTGAATTCACTGTCCACGTCGGCCACAATCGCCGATGTTGCTGAACTGTGTAAATTCGCTGCTGCTTCCTGCCCCACGAAGTTGTTCAGTTCATCAGCATCTGAAAAACAATGGAAAATTTCGTACAGTTTGTTAAATTGATGATTTCCGAGATGTACACGCTAGTGTTGCAAAATGTAGAGCACCGTTTCACATTTAAAAAATGAAACACACGTACAAACTTAAATAGCAAGATACTTTAAATACACTGCCTTGTAATAAATAAATAATAGCAATATATTAATATGAAATAAATTATAAATTGTGAGTTTTAAATAAAATAACATATAAATATTTTTAATTACGGGAAAATTTATATTTTTCAGATCACAATTAAATAGAGGCCGTAATTAAAAATTCTTTATAGAAAATATTATATTTTGAATATTTTACGTGTTCCTTCATGTCACGTGCGTTTTATGGAATTTCGTGGTTAGAAATAGTTTTAATTTTAAAAATTTTAATTAAAAGTAATAAATTTTTATACTTAAAGATATGAATATGTGCTTCTATTTATAAAAGAAACGTACGTGTCAGACAACAACTGTAATGTCTTACGAAGAATTCTGCTGAATCTATTTTTGTAGAACTTCAATTTTCTCTTAAGTACATATAGTATGTCATATGTTTCTAGTGTCAGCAAAATTACGAAACCTAACGATTCATCGTGACATAGATCACTTACAATTTCTAGAATGTCTTAAAATATCGAAACAACCTAGCGAATTTACCTACGAGTAGAAAATAAACGAAACAATATAAAATCAATATTTTATATAAAATATACACGATACGACCAATATTATAGAAGCCGTGTCAATCTTTTAATTACAACAAACATCACATATTATTCACAATTATTTTATTTCCGAACAAGAAACACACACAATTTCTAAGTTTCATTTAATCTTTAGTCATAAATTCGTCGCGCTTAAAATTAAAACAGAATAACAAATATCCGAGGAATAATGTTACTCTAATCTTCGATAAAATCTCAAGTCACAGAATTCCCTTCTTATAAAGCGAAGCACATACATCTCAAATCTCAAAGTGAATGAATAAGTTTTCTGAAAGAAAAAAATCAGCTTCGTTGAATGACGTAAAAACGTAGCGAGGTAGATTCAAAGCGCGTCAAAGTTTCAAAACTATCATTGTTATGACATATTAATCGTGAAACCCTGGATTATTCACAGACTGTCAATATTGAACAGGATACAATGAACGTAAATCCTAATGACGAAGATAATGGTCTATATCTTTTGTTAAGCTGCGTACACATTTGTTACTGAACAAGTGATATCCTGTGACTTGTTTTTTTTTTTTTTTTTTTTTTTTTAAATGTTGTGGAAATAACTTGTTATAATAACGTTTTTATAAAATGTCGTGGAAGTAAAGGTCTATCAAGATTCGATATCGTCAGATGTAAAGATCGTTTGTGCCTTGATTCATTGATGCATCGCCTTGAGTCATTCGTTCAACAAAATGAAGACGTGACGAGCTTCGAATCGTTTCCAACAGGATTCGAGAATTTTTGAAAGTCTTGACAGTTTTGATAGTCTCAAAAGTGCTGAAGATTTTGGATATTTCAGTCCAAGTACTAAAAAACTTGGCAGTATTTAAATGCATTTTCTTGTACATACATTTCTTTCCCAATAGTTCATGTCAACGAGGCGATTCAAATTAAGGCATTCAACGTGCTGGTGAAATATTGCAGCTTCCAATCAAAATAGTCAAGATCCTCGATAATTCTGAAACTCTCGAGATCTCGAGATCTATCAAGATTTTACAGAGAGACTTTCCAAATCAATAACATGTTTGGAAAGAAATATATTTCTACGTTCATGCCTTCGATACTGATCGGGAATAATCAAGATATTTCCAAGGTCTTCAAAACATTCGATAGTCTTTCGAAAATTCGAATTTTAACACTTCGATTCGACCCACCGAAAGAGCTCTCCCTTCGCCATCCTACACTTTATTATTATTATACTTTTCGTTTCTTTTCCAATTTTTTTTTTTTTTTTCTACTGAAGAACAGCAAGTTCTACAGTTGTTCTACGGAACAATCCTCTCGTTTCGATCGAATATGAAGAATAATTCCGAGTTGATTGGTAAGCTTCTGAAATATAAATACGAGTGTGTACGCAGCTTTACGCGCCGGAACTCGGATTACCGATTTCTATACGCGATCACACACATCCTGTACAAACGTACACACCTGCGATTGTGTAACGAGCGACGTTTTACGCCTACATTTACTTTACCTGCCTGACTTATCGTCCACGTCCAATTGACAGACACTTTAAGCCTTTTGTAAACGACTACGCCCGCAACTTTATAAGTAACTGCCTCATTTTTTTACGACGAGTCTTTCCAACCGGAGTGTTCCTGATAGATCGGGCCGACACAATGGTAACATCAACGTGTTCCTTCATCTCGTTCTTTTGTTACTTGGTGTGCGCCAGGTGCGTGGAAACTGTTGCAAGTGTAGATTCGAAGCTTTTCGAAGAGCCATCGGACTTGCAAACTACTCGGACAACTTATTCGATCGAAAGTACAGTGGATAAGGAAGCTCTTAGAAAACTGAGATATCCTGGTGACGATGGGATTTTAATTTTCTCCGCGGACACGTGTTCCAAGTCAGTGTTTGTGATTAATAATCTATCTATTATGTTCCTCGGAATTTCATTTATCTTGTGTTCATGCAAAAATATACCAAGTGTAGAACTATTTTCTTAATATCTAATAGGCGAAACGAATTTCTCTTCTTTGATTATATTTATGAAAATATACAATCTTGAGTAGATTATAGATTATCTACTTTTGATATATTTTATATATTTTATTTGATATATTTTATATTATCTACTTTTGATATATTTTATATATTTTACATTATATATTATATATTTCATATTTCATATATTTTAGGTATCTTTAATTTGTCATAAATGCATAAATAGTCAATGCAATGAGAAGAAGCTGATAATTTTGTTATTGCCTTGTTATCTATTGCTCAATAGATGAAAATTTCAAGAAAAAATTAATTATGTTCAATAGGTTAACGTTTCAAGATAAAATTAAAGATTAATATTTCAAGAAAAAATTAATAGATTAACATTTCAAGAAAAAATTAAGGGAAAGTTTAACTAGCTCTAACACACTCAGAAAATACTCAGAACCTAATTACAACAAAAATGAAGAGATCTTTAATTTTACAAAGGAATTTTAAATTCTTATAATACATATGAAAGACAGTGTTTTTTAAAATGGTCCACGTAATCAATTATATTAATTAGTTTCAAATTCATAAATTAATACGTTCTTGTTATAATAAGTCGACTTCAGCAACACTCAATATTTTCATCGCATTCAGAATTAAAAGTTTTTAACTTTAAAGATAACTATGCTAAACCTTTGATAACAATAGAAGAAAATATGAATTCCATTTAAAATGCTCTTTTGAAACATGTAGTACATGCATTTGACTAGATATTTGTTCTTTCAACTAAAAAAAGATTATTCAATATATGAAAGAGGCATTTGAATAGAATATTTGAGCATGTTTTTACTACTTTCTTTCATCACGCATTTCATAAAAGAACGTTCATTTTGTAATAACCTATTGATATCTATTTATTTTCAAAATGCAGCATTGAATATTTGAACATTCCATTTAACATTTTTTTTTAAACATCTTTCATCTGTCATTTAAAATATTTTTAATTAATTCTGAATATATATAAAGTTCAAATTGCCAGCAATTTTCTAAAAATTATAAAATGTGTTCAATTGCCTTTGCTAATGATGAAAGATTTGTGATTCATACAAAGAAGATAATTATATTATAATTATATTATACAATTATATATAAAGAAGATAATTACTACAGCTAATGGTGAAAGATTTGTATTCAAGAAGATAATTATATTCAATATATATCTGCACTTATATTATGAATGTCCTAATGTTATACTATAATAAAATATTGTACAACTTATATTGCACGAATCTCTTAGAAAGTCTATTTGATCACTGTTTAGAAAATTATTAATTTCATATTATCCAAACATATGACTACTAGTATTTTAAAACAGAAATTTTATTTTCATAAATTTATTAATCATGGGAAGATAATACAAGTAAAAGAAGTATATAATGTTAAAAAAATAATGTTTGCAATTATTACTTTTCTAAATATTCTAATTTATTAATTTAATCAACGACAATGAATTCTGACCGATTTGTATGTTGAATATAATTAATATTCCATATATTTCTTTTTTTGCTCTTCGACAACAAAATAATATAGCTCAGTTTCATAAACACAGTTACTTTAAAATAACAAATAATATATTTTAAAATACTATATGATAATATTAAATTAAACTTCAACTTATCACGTAGATACTGCATCGATAGAATAGACAAAAACGGAGTTAATATTCAATACATTACTCTCATCTGGATAGCTGACGATAGCGACGCATTAGGTAAGTTGCATTAAAATTTTATAAGTGATTATAATTTTAAAATAGTATAAAAGGAAGTATAGAATAGTATAAAAAGTCGCATTGTCCTTTGATTAAATTCTCAATTAATTCACACATTATTAACCCAATCCGACGTATGTACATTTCTCTTTATGCTTCTAAATTCACAATAAACATTATTTTTTAGACAAAAATCATTAAATGAAAACTGATTTTTATTTATTCGAATGGAGATCAGTTATTACTAAATCTCAAAGAAATTTATTAATTATTAATATATTAATAATTATTCCGATATAATTGTATAATAATTGTTCCGATTATATTATAAACGGTATCAAAATATTTTTTCGATATCAATAATCATTATCAGTCACAAGGATTTAATTACCAGTAAACGTATTATTTATCACATCTTTTTCTTTTTTTTTATAGTACAATCGATATATTATCGATATTACATTATCTACATATTATTAATATTACTGATAACATTCATTGACAAC